AGGTCCCTTACGACTTGGTTATGCCAGCAGGCCTGGGGACCCCAGGGGATGGGGGAATTAGTGAGGTGGCTCCCTTATTTTTATTCTCTCAGTTTTATTTTGCTTTATATATATTTTAATGTATTTATTTATTGTTTTTAGCTTTGTTGTACACTGCCCACAGTCACCTGTGGTGAGATAGGCAGCTATATAAATTGTTTTAATAAATAAATTAATTAAATGGAATTTCTCTCTCTCTTTTATAAGTTAATCAAGGCAGAGTCTCTTTGAATGATTGAAATGCTTCTTCCCACATTTCCCTACACCTGGTCTAAGTTGTCATTTATGAGATAAGTTGTCAACTGACTCTTGCAGTTGTTTATTTCTGTTCTGTCTTCCATTCCTTTCCCAGCCTCCCCATAATTTCTCATATATGGCCATTGCTGACAATTCTGTGAATTGGTCCATATAACTGGAGAGCACTCAGACTGGAGAAGATGGTGGTAGCTAATAAAAAAAAAGATAAATCTCCTATGTATTGTAAGATTCAAAATGCAACCTATTAGGCCTATTAATTTCCAATAAATAACAGCTTGACATTTATGCATACTTCTTAACTATATTTTTGTGTTGTTTTTAGAAGTATGAATTTACATCTGAAGTCTGGCTTTCTAAGCAGGTATAGTATTATTAATTATTTGGAACAAAGTACAGAAATAATTTGTTGATTGTTAATAAAACCATTTTTTAAAGCATGGAGGTAATATAAGCATAACAAACTTGGTACTACATACAATCACTGCATTTTTCTGGTGGCATCACAGAATAATATTCCAGCATAGGTGTTTGCTTGCTTGTAGTTTTATACTGCCCAGCTAATTCTGACTCCTGGCAGTTTACATAAGTATAAAACTATATACAATAACAATTAATACAGCTGGTTACCCAATCAGCCAGGCAAAGGGGGCAAGGTATTCCACAGTATAGGGTTCACATACAGAAGGTCTGCCTTTAGACCCAGTACATTGTCAAAGGGAAGGGACCCTCAGCTTCTCCTCACTTTTCTTAGGAGCAATGCATAATAAAACTGTCTAAAAAAAAAATAGCCAAATGCCTAATCAACTGTCTAATGAAAATAAATTTTAATAAATTAGACAAGAAACCATCTCACTTTTTGCATAGATGATGATGATGGTGATGATGATGCAAAATAGGTTCGTCGTGAGTTTTCCATTTTTAAAATATAAGTCAAAATAGTACTTAATGCAATTTAATATTAGACCAACTGGTCATACAGTTCTAAAAACTATTATTAATATGTATATTTAGCAGATTCCCATACAAAACAATAAAAATTATCCTTTGAACAATTACAGTCCCTAGTAATATTTTAATTTAGAGAAGCAGTTTGGTATAGTGGTTAAAGGCACCAAGCTAGAAAATGGGAGACTATGAGTTCTAGTCTTGCCTTAGGCACAAAACCAGCTGGGTGATCTTGGGCCAGTCACTCTCTCTCAGCCCTAGGAAGAAAGCAATGGAAGACCACTTCTGAAATCTTACCAAGAAAACTGCAGGGACATGTCCAGGCAGCTGCCAAGAGTCAACAGTTATTCAATGGCACCAAAAAGTGAAAATAATAATAAAAAAGGGTATTTCCTTCTTGAGTTGTACACAGTTAGAGGCAAAATGGACAATAATTATTTGAAAATGATAATGCTCTTAGCACCACAAGTGATCTTCATGTCCTGTAAAAATTACCATATAATTTCACTGGGTATTAATGCAGTGGAGATGTCCACTGATGACATCTCAATGGCTAGTGCTGTCTTTCCACTATTGCACTAAAAATAGATTGTTAACATGTACATGCTTCAGATCTGTTGCTGAATATTGCAGAACCATCTGAAACAGATTTTGGATATGTGATATGGGAAGGAAAGAGAACAATTCAGACAGAGGACTGAAGGGGAACTGAACTTCCATACACACACACACACACACACGTGTGTGTGTAAAATGATGACCATGGACTATATCTGTATTTTCAGATATCCATGATTCATAAGGAAATACAGACATAGCCCATGATCATCACTTCACACTCATAACTTACTCGAAGCCAGAAGTGACATGTGAGTTTCCTACACTGTTAATGGTCATTATATTTCACTGTAAAAAGCTGTCCTGAATTCAGTGGAACATTAGCCCTCTTTAAGCAATCAGCTGGAGGTCAGAAGGAGAACTGTACTTGCATTTCCTTCAGTGTGAGTAGGTCTGTCAGCCAAATTGCATAGAAAGCCTTCTTGTGTTCATGTATATGCAAGTTCAATTTCCCTTCAGACTTCTGTCAGAATGTATGGAGGTCAAGAAATAAAGGTGAGACCTCCCTATGAACTCTATTTTCTGCTTACCTAAAGCCATCCATACGTTAACCTGAAGACACGAAGAAGGGTTTACTCTCTTGCAAAGCAGTTCAAAATTGCTGCTCTCTGGGAAAAAAATAGATTCCTAAGAAATTGAATTGCCTCTTTAATTATTTTTCTGCTTTCTTAACTTGACTCTTTATTTATTTATTTAAAAGACTTCTATAGCCATCCATCTTATGCACCATAACCCTGGGTGACTTACAAACAATAATAAAAACAGTAAAAAGCATAAAGACATATTTGTGCCATTAAATATTGTTTCTCATCAATGTGTTCAGTGTTTGAATGTGTCATCATAAAAATGATGGCATACAGCAGGTAATTCTTAACGGAAAATTTCACAGTGCTGTTTTTTGTTTTTGTTTTTAATAGAATGAGGAACCAGTTTTTTCCAAAGATGGCAATACATTTTTCATGACAGTTCCTGTTAAACAAGGCGGTCGTGGTGAATTCCACCATATTGCTAAGTTTAATGTTCAGGTAAGCTTCTTTTACTTAAGTTAGATTCCAGTTATGGAAGCTCATTGGCAACTCTGAGCAGATTACTCTCAGCCCAGCCTACTTCAGAGGTTAGTGTGGTGGGGAATTATAGGTCTTTTACTACGCATAGATATAAGTACATACAAGATAAAGATACTGTATGCAACACATGGGTAAGTATTCCTTTTTTTCTTTGGGTGATCACTTTCAGAAGCCCTTGAACACTTTGTTTTCCTATAGGATATTACACTTTTCTAGAGGAGAATGTTTGGTTCAGGGAGTGACATTATCATCTGTTACAAAAATTATTGCAAAAACCTCTCTCAACCTGAAATTTGCCACCAGTGTTGCCATGGAAGTTAGCATCCCACTGTATTCTAAAACAACAAAGTTACAGGACTGTTTAAAAACAAAACATATTTTCAAAGGGATGTAATTCAAACAATCTCCCAACTATTTTTGTGGAATTCCTGAATAAATCTCTAGCTATGTGACAAACCAATATGTTATAGCCGCCGCCGCCGCCACCAGCACACACACAAATGCTGATCTGTGCAGAATATATCTTGCTGTGGAGCTAGAGTTCCAACTTGACCAGGCTAGTTCCAGAGTTACCCTGATTATTTCTGCAATGAAGATGAACGGCAAATAAACTGGCCTCTGCATATCCTTGATACTGCTATCAATTTTTGCAAACATTTCAAGACATAAACCTCTCCTAGGATGAGGAACAGACATTGATTTCCTGTCCAACACACTAGGAGATCTTATGGGCTTTTGATGATGCAGTTCCAGACACACATTTTTAAATTCAGTCTGAGCCAAGGACAGACAGAGATAGCTTTAACCCTGTGAAATATATTTCATATTCATGTAAACTGATATTAATACAGATATGGATAATAGATATAGATACTATTTTCATTAGCAATATAAAAGAAACTAATATATAGCTTTAACATTTACAGATCACTTGTGAATTATTTCTTGCTGACCATTACTTCTTCTTTCTCCTATTTTCTTGCAAGAAGTATATTCACCTTAATAAAATAAAATATAGTTAATGCTACTGTGTGACTCAGGCACTGATATACTGCATCAATATACTGTGACTTCCATGATCAGAAGACCACCAAGATAGATTTCCTTGGTCATAGAAATAGTTATAACTTAACTATTTAAGTAGATTGCTTTCATTAGGGAGAAAAAAAACTAATAAAATGTAATATTTGCTTTCTTGAATCTCACTGAGGTAAGCTATTTTAAGGGTATGTAGACTATTACAAAATATAGTGTCATTGAGAATTCAAGGAAATTAACAGTGAGGTAGAAGAGTTAGACATCTGTCAAACTGCACTTCCAATAAACCCTTGGGTATGCATGGACACCCATTTCTGTGTTTTCTTAACACATGTGTATGCTCAGGAAAACAAATGCTATAATCTGTATCTTCTCTCTTTTTAAGGATCTCATCACCATCATCCAAACAGGACTTTCTCACACATTCCCTTTCCTTCAACCCATTCACTCTTCCTTTATATATTTGTTTTGCAGTTTGATCCTCATTCTGTAATATGTCTCAACCATCTCAAAGTACTTCCGGAGCACCTGGGTGGAAGGGGAGGCTCAAAAAGTCAAAGCAGCTCCAACTACACAATTGAAGACCTTACCCTTTTTTTTTTTTACATGCAATTCAGGCTGCCATATTGACTTTTTTACCTCTCTGCAGATGCCCCAGGCATACTGCTTTTGTATTCATCACTCACTTTTGCATTGAGTCTAGTTCCATTCATTCTTGACTCTGTTTTACATTCCTATTTTACTGCGCACTTAAGTAACCCATTCTCATTGCATTCAGCTCAGTTTTTATATATTCCTGACATAATCAGCTTTCATTTTCATACAAGACAATATCCAGAAGCACCCTCTTTTACAAGGCCATTTTTGCTTATTTCAACACACGTTCATTCTTCACAACAGCCTACATGCTATGTACTACCTTTCTACCACCATTTGCATGTGCATCCATTTCCCCATCTTCAGTTAACATTCTACCAAGGTACATGAAGTCATCTATTTGCTTTATTTTTACACCATTTATGTAAAACTTGTATTCATTCATTCAATTTTCCCTGTCAAATACAACTACCTTGATCTTTGATTCATGAATTTTCAGATTCATATTTCTTACCACATCATACAATATATCTAACATTTGCTGCAAATCATTCATGCTCTCAGGCAAAAACACAGCATCATCTGCATACAGAAATACACACACATACATTTCTCAGCCAACAAATCTCAAGCATCACTACAAGAATTTTGACAACACCATCTTGACAACATAACTCCTTATCTTACTCCCTGCTAAATATATTCCATATATTCTCATGTATCCTTCCTCTCACTCTTAATTTTATAAACTCTCAATATATCTATTTTTATTTTTCATTTCATTTGTTAATTTATTAACTCCTCTTACTTTCAAGCTGTATGATTGATACCAGAGGGGCCCATAGAATTTGACCTCTGCTGCCAATCATCACTTTGGTCAATTAAGGAGAATCATGGGGGAAAAAAGGTTAAATTTATTATTTTCTTGCAGATCAAAAATGAACAATTTAGTATACGACATCTGACATCAGGGAACTGGGAAGTTATAAAAATCTTGGCATATGATGAAAATACCCAAAAGATGTGAGCATTATTTTTCTTTGTCTGTTCAGGTAAAATATCTGTGTTATCAAGATAGAATCAATGTTATGGATATACCAATGTTAATCCTGATTCTTTTATTATCAAATGCTAATGTAAGTTAGCCACAAGCCATAAGTATAAACTGTATTTAATTTCCTGATGTATTCTAACAACTTTTCCTGAATAATAAAACAAGGCTAGGCTGTAACAAATTCTGGTTCACTGAACCAATTGAAATAAGAAAATCCAAACACTGGGTTTGGCAACAATATTTCCAAGTAGTCTTTTTTATTTGCTTGCTTTAGAATCTTAAATAGTCAAATAATTAGGATTTTAAAATTAAATACATTTGAACCTTTGGATGATTCCATGTTTAATTTTGCACACCTTCAAGAAAAATAAAGAATGGTTCTTGTTTTTTCTTAGGTTGTAAATGGACTTGCTTCCCAATTCTGTTAACAGAAGGGAGTTCTTAGAAACTCCTGAAAAACATCATTTGTTAATAACTGTCCTTTGTTAAGACTTCAATCCTGTATGTACTTATATAGAAATAAACCTCCTTGAATGTGGTGGGATTTATAAAGGATTTTATTTAAATGTGTAGAAGTGTTGAAGTGTCTAGGCCATTTTCCAGTGGTTTAGAGTATACTAAGATTGCATGTAACAGATGCTTAGTTATTGGTGCCTGGCATGAGAATCAGCTAAAGTCTCTGTTTCGTTTTGTCTTTAATGCAGAGAAGGCAGGTACTTTGAATACCTGTATCCTCTTTCTAAGAACAAGACCAGTTGTTCTGCCTGATCTTTAGTAAATTCGCTTCTCCTTTTTAAATTGGCAGAATTCAGGCACACAATCTCTTTTGAACACAAAGCAGTAAGACTTCTAATAGAACAAGTGACTTAATCATTAATTAAGCTCCATCTGCATAGAACATAGCATATGCAATAGCCCAATTTGTATTTTATTTTTACAAAGCCAGATACGCTAACTCTGAGTTCCCTTCTTAACCATCTGAGGACACATTCTAGTCAACATGAATGATCAGGTAACATGTTAATGATGATAAACTTGTATTATGGCCTCAAAAAATGAATTAGATATTTTATTCTGGTATGAAAGGGGAAAATAAGACTAGAATTGCAGAGCTTCTTTGCTAATGAAAAATTAGGTGCAATATAAAGAAATAAGCCTGTCTCTAGATGTTTTGTGGACAGCCACTTCAGTCTGTCTAATGGTAAGAATGATCCTGCTCTTCTCCTATATCACTGAAATCCTTAGGTCTGATGTTCATTATGTTTATATGTACAGCAAATTAGTAAATATTTATCTGGGCTGAAGGTATTTTTTCTCATTTTGCCAGTTATTTTTTAAGTACTGAGAATTCACCAAGAGGAAGACAATTACATAGGTAAGCAGATTGGGTGCAGTGTCATTCCTGAGTGATTGACAGGACTGTGTCTCTTTGTTTACAAAAAGCTATTAACTTAAATGTCAAAAGAAATCCCCATGCATTCCTTAGAAATTCTACATGAATCTGTGGGTTTATAAAAGAAGCAAATGTTATAGGAACAATATATATTGTGACAGAATGATAATAACCCAAAGGCTTCTTTCAAAGTATAATACTAAACCTAGTTAGCATTTTATATGCATTGAAACATTTCAAGGAAATAGAAGTAGAAAAAAATGAAGTTACAATCAGTGTTGTTCTCTTTTGTTATAAACCTGGTATTCACAAACATGTACTTCTACACCCTCTGTTCCCCACTGCATTCCTTTGCTACCCTGCAGAGAAAAAATTGGTGATATGTAGAGAGGAATTTGGGGAGAAGATATAATGTATTCCTGTACAGTAGTGTCTGAAATATTGTCAATGAAAACCAAAGAATTTACTCCTATAATAATATATTTGTAGTAAATATTAGCTATAGGTTTTCATGTGCTTGATCAATTTCTTTTACTGCCTCAGTGTGTCAACAATTGAACTGCTGAATCGTCAATGCCTCTCATGCAATTTTATGAAAGATCATTGCACATATTTTAATGCAAAGTTTAGTCCTTCAATCAAGTATTTCATCCTACAGTGTAAGGGTAAGCCAATCTGATTGTATTAAAGAAAGGGATTACTATTTAAAAAATAATAATAAAATGTTTTTGAACATCAAAAGCATCAAATATCAGTGATAACTTTACTACAAATAAAAGGTTTTATGTAATTATAATAATTACAAAATTTCAACTGTTGTATTATATATTTGTTTTGTATATTACACACAAAAATTGTGTTAGTGGACAATTTATATTTTGTCCTGACTAATTCTATCATTCCTATGATAGAATGGTCCATGAAATAATGGACCAAGGGAGAGAGATGGCTAGAAGTAATTGTATAAAAGATGTACTAAACCTATAGTGATCAGTTAATTTTAAACTATTTAAGAGAACATTACTCATTCCTTGGAAGATTTCTTAAAAACTTCAGTATGCTCTCCAACTATCAAATTACATGCAGCCAAAAACCTGGCTAGTTGTATGATTACATTTGTCAATCAGTGACACAAACAACATTTCTTGTTATCATTAATAAGACACCAAGGAAGGTTATGGATGTTGCAGGAGAATGAACTACATACATAGATTTTTTGGGGTTTTTTTTCTGTAGTCATTTCAGCAGTCCACGGTTATAAAGAAAAAAATTCTAAAGGCAACTTGTATGCTAAATAATGGAAATTGCAGCACCATAAAAATGGGGGGGAGGAGAAAGAATGAGTGGACTTCTTCACTGGAAGTGTTCAAGTGGAAGCTGGAATGCTTTAATCTGAATTTCTGCATTGAGCAAGGGGACGGATTTGACACCCTAAAAGGCCCCTTCAGTCTCTATTATTCTATGAAATCAGGCATCCTCTTTATCATGGCACTCTCATCTGAACATTGAATCAAAACTGCAAGATCTGAAGCTAGGATATGTTTCTTCTGAGATTTCCTCTCAGTGTTCTAATAACCTCCAAATGACTTTGCAAAGTCTGAATGCTCCCTGTTCTCTTTTTGATTTAATAGTAGCTGCAGGTGCTCCATGTTTTATATAATCAGACTATTAATCGCTCTATGTGTCAGTTTCTCAGCTGTAAAATTGAGATGATGAGGATAATAACAATCATACATTTATTATTTCCCAGCAGACTACCCTATTGCTTTGGCATTAATGGCACCATTCATATGCTAAGTATTAAAGCATACGCAGTAGTAGTTTTGAAAACTATGTGTTAGAGTAATTTATCTTTTTGCTGTTTTTTATTTATTTATTTATTTTAGTTGAGGAGCCCAAAGCTAGTTTTTTATTTATTTATTTACTTCCTCTGTGTGCACGTTTTTCTGTGTATTGTAGGACCTGGTGTTCCGTCTGTCAGCCTGCACAGTACAAGTAATCCTGAAAGTAAGCTATCTCAGTTCATTGGGGATTTTCTTGTGGCGTTTCTCCCTTTCATTTGAGACCTTCAGGAAATTAATTTCTAAAGCTCATCTTAATTACAACCTAGGAATAAATATGCATGTAAGCAATAAGAGCAGACTGAAATTAATACAGTGACTATAACATATCAGGGATTTTACAGACTGATCATACAATAATGTGTATCTTTTGTCTCCCATTAATGCTTACAATAATTAGATGGCACAATGTCACAATCTCTTTCACTAAGTATGCAAACTGAGTTCCTATTACAGTACCTCTAATATACTCTTTAAAATACTTTAAAGCACTAATACAATTAGTCTGGATTAAGGAATTGTCTTCTGAGTGCTACTTATCTATTTATCCTTTTTTAATGAAACAAATATTAGTTTGCTTAAATCTCTCTTTAAGCAAACTCAACACATTAACACACATGCATATACAAATAAGACAGACATATACACACAAACACATCTAGGTTTTCTGAAATGTGTAACTTTTTAGTATACTCAGTGCAAGCATGCATCATTTGGATAATTGAACTGTTCACTTTACTTGGGGAAATATTTAATTTAAATGAACGTTCATATATGCATTTTGATATTCTCTTTAAAGCACAGTATTCTTGCTGATAAGTAGATGATAGCAGTAAGTTAAGCAGTGACATCAGACTTTTAGAAATAAAACACTGCTGTACTGATCCTTTGTCAAATTCTCACCTGTAAAAATTCAGAGGAAAATTTTATTTCTATAAAAAATTTTGGGAACTA